AAGGTCCAGGCACTGGAGTTACCTCACTTGTTCCCTGACCCTGAACACCTGCAAACTTGGCCTTCACCTTGTTGTGTACAAGGCTCAAGGCAAGTTCTGCTGTATCTGTTCTGCATTACTGGAGTTTGGGGCTGGCAGGAATTACAGAAAGCTCAGGGCTATCCTAACTCACAGCCAGGTGCAAGAGTCCCTGGCAGCAGAATGGTTTCAGCAGCGAAGAGCAAAAATACACTGACATCCTGACTGTGCTCCACCAGCCCTGGGCAAAGCCACATCTTCCCAGCAGGGAACTGGACTGTCTCTACACCTCAGAAGCAAAATAGGCCAGTACATTGTGCCCCTCTGCCTGACTCTTCCTGAAATTGAAGAACTAAATAGAAACCAACCACCCATTGTCACACACAGGAAAGCTACCTCTGTTATGCACTTTGAAGATCTTATGTGCTTCTAAGATTGTCTGGGGTTATTTTTCCCCCTCAGCTACATGAGTTTGTCTAATAAAGGATAACACCTCCTCCCACAAGCCTTGCCTTGCTTATCCACCTGCCCGAGCTGTTTACAACGTGGCAGCAGGAAAGGCCAAAGCACAGATATTTATCTATTCCATGAGAGCTTCGAATCTGAACATCTGCTGCAGAACAGGCTGGCACTTACAGCTCAATCACTTGGGAGTTTAGCTCCATGATTGTGTTGTCAGTGCTGACAGAAATCAAGACAGCTGCCGTGTTAAATTCCCAAGGTGGGCATTGAGGTGGGGAGTCAGGCAGAGAGGGAGAGAATGTGACGAATCAGGAATCAAAATAAATGGACAAAAGCCCTTTCTCTGTTCTTCCACACTCTCCTCCCCACTTCCAAGGAAAGCCAGTGTTGCTGGTTTCCCCCTGGCCTCCCTCCCCACCCTGCATTCACACACTCACATCCTCTGGGTTTGGTACCTTCTCTGCAGCGATGGGCACTGAGGATGGGGTAAGGCTGGTGGGAGACTCCGGACGCTTTTTGTGCTTCTGTTTAGGTCTCTCCTTGTCCTTTCGACTCTGCAAAAGAAATCAAGAGTACTGGAAGGCTAACTTTTCCTCTGCTGAGAATAGCAGTTGTAAGGGAAAAGAAAGGAGGGTGTGTAGGGGTGGATTTACAACCATACATTCATATTCCTCTTTCCTTCTCCACCCATCCACACGAGCCCAGTATCCCTTCCCCCACATCCCAGCTTCTGGCTGGGAGCATCCCACTATCTATGCCCCAGCTGCAGTCAACATCTGGAGTGCAGAATGTCAACAGAAGCCCCCAAATCAGTTTATGGTAAGATGATAGGGAAGGACTTAATGAGCTCTGGCTGATTTCAAGAAACCTGAGCTTTCCTCTTGCTACTTCCCCAAAGGGACTCGGTGCCCCCTTACCCTCGCTCTCTACCATCTTCAAGGGTTTCTCAGATCCACCCTGTACAGCCAATGGGAGAATCTTGATTTCAGCACGTGTTGCAGAGATCAGTCAGCAGAGATCTCAGAGCTTAAGCTTGAACCTAACCTAGAGATCCCTCACATCTCCCCTCCCAACAGACACAGCTGGGCTGGGTCCATCTCTGCTAACAGGAGACAGACTATTTAGTTTGATTTCTTTATCCTGTTTTTTCCTCACACTAAAACCCCAGAAACATGAGATTCTTCAAATTGCAAACCAAGGAAAAATCACGGCCTGAGAAACACTGAGTCCTGCCCTCGCTGATGTCATATTCTCCTGGGGAATGGACTGTCACCAAGGAGGTTGTTCTCATATCGTGCTATCTGGATGTTTATGCTAAAACTGAGATGTTCTCAGTGAAAGGACTGAAAACATAGGCCTGTGTGACCTCAAGGCAGTGGGGTTTGAGGATGCCCAGGCCAGCTGGCATACAGGATGGATGGATAGAAAAGCATGCTCCATCACACACTCCTGCTTCCTCCCTGTCTTCCTCAGCTGCATGCTCCCGTGGGGACATACTCAGTTGACTACCACAGCTTTTCCATGCTACCCATGTCAGCTAAATATGTGGCCTTCATTACTGAAGCTGCAGAAATCTTTGTGCTGAGTTCCAGACTTCCCAGTGTGGCCACTGGTGTGTGGACCAAGAGAGCTGCTGTTAGATAAACATCTGTGTGATACACAGGGCTTAGAAAAACTCATCCTCTTGTCTCTGAGACCTGTTTGTGGGCAAGGATGCCCACTCTGGTATAACTCCCTTGCATGGGTGTTGTATTCTAGCAGCTGAAGTCCTCAGTCTGGACCAAAGGTGTGTTCAGAACAGTCACATCAAAATTCATTGACTCTCCAGAAAGATGCTGATTGCTCCCTCATGCAGGCAAAGCCCCGAGGCTACAGCTGCCAGCACATGCCAAAGTTGGGATGCTGTCAGGGGAAGATGCATTTGCAGCAAATTATAAGCTCCACTGTATGTTTTTGGGGAGGAGAGAAGAAACTGGAATAAATAGCTTAGGAAAAAATGTGCTAAATGGGAAAATAAAAGGGTTAGGAAGAGCAGGAGGAAAAGGCTGGAAAAGGCAGGCATGAGGTGAAGTAGAGGTGAAGCAAAAGTGCTCCAGAAATCAGCACCTTTCAGTGTGGGTTTGGCTGGATTTCCATTGCACTTGAAAGAGGAGACCCATGCTGCAGCCACCAGTGACTCTGCCAGCGTGAGCCTGCCACGACACCACAGAAGCTTCCACTGGGATGAGCTGGTGAAAAAAGGAGGCAAATCCAGCCTAGAGCTTTCACTGCACTTGCTGAGTGCCCAACACTGCCAATATCCATCATTTTTTCACAAGACTCCTGGTGTTTGGCATATCTGTTAAAGCCTCTGTTCCTAGAGCTACAGTATTTTACAAGAACCTGTTTTCTTTTTTTCCCCTTTCTTTGACACACATTTCCAGCTTTGGCAGGGAACAAGGAAAGCTTGAAAATGTGATTTCTACAGACTAAGTGCAGAAAGAGAAATTAAAATGAAATCTTTACTAAATCTCGTATTTTAAATACTTGAGGGCTTCTTGTGCTAGAAACTCTTAAGTCTCATGGGCCTTCTAGGACAGGAAGATGGGGAAGCTGTGGCCCAGTTAGTTAAGCAGCTCGTCACAGACCACGTACACATCGGTGTTCGTTATTCCAGTAGTAGTAACAATTTGCACTCCCTTAATAGCACACAGCAGAAAGTTCCAAAGAGCTGAAGAGAGGTTTTTACTATCTACTTCTCGTATTACAAATGGGGAAACCAGGGCACATGGGATGAGAGAACTTGCTAAGATTTCACAAGAAGTAATCCAAAAATTCAGGAAGGAAAGTCAGGGATCCCCACCCCACCTAGACACACACTCGCCTACTTGCAGATATTGCCAGTGCCGCTCACGGAAGCCAGAAATGGAAAACAAGAGCCAGACACCTCATTACAATACATTTTGCCAAATAAATACATAAACCCTGGCCCTTAAACTTTCTGAATACTGCAAGGCTTATTCTCTCATTTTCAGACTCTTAATCCCAAATGCATTTCAATCATGAAGTTGTAACAGGGAGGAATAAGATACCACGCTGCAAACACCAGTGAGACAACACTGAAATGATTTAATTCTATGTATCATGGTCAAGATGAGACAAGGCAGAGCCAAGCCATTTTGCCTAATGACAATGAACCTACACACCTACATACACACGTGCACATGCGTGGGGAAAAGCAGAAATGTCCTGACTGTCACCACAGTGAACCATAAAACCTCCCACTTTTCATTGTGATGGCAACCACCAAACTCACATCCTTCAGCTTCAAAATCCTGGCTGTCTCCTGTCTGAAAAAAAAATCTCCCTTCACTGTCGGCAGCACAGAGCCTACAACAGCTAACTGAGCAGTCCCCTGGTTCTATGTAGGAGTGTGTACATATGTACATATTCAGCAAGAACCCAGCCTGCACAACAGGGACCAGATTTCTGGAACGCCTCAGCTCCCATTTAGATGCTTGAATATATGGTCAGGTTTTTCCAAAAAGTTAAACGCTGGGTATTAAGTTCTTTTGAAGATCTGGCCCTGACTACATGTGCTGAGCAACTGCACTCAAACTATTTAGAAAATCTGTCCCACAGAGACCAGTCTTCGTGCTCTGCTCAAAGGACTGCATTGAAACCAGCCCGACCGCAGCCCGACGAGGAGCTCCACAGCACTTCTGCTGAGGGTCCCTGCACGCAGCCCCAGGCCATGCCCACAGGCTCACCTCTGTCCTGCTTACCAAGCACTTCTCCCTCTCCCACACCACCTCCTCTCCAGGCTCTCTGTGTCACTTCTGCTTGGGCAGAGTAGAAACCCACAGGGCTGGGTGCCCAGGAGCTCTCTGGGCTACAGTCAGAAGCCCTAGAGCTTCGCAGAGTTGGGGTGCCCACTGCCTTTGCACACCCAGGAGCACCCATCTCCCACCATCCAGTTACTCTCTAATACTTTTGGGTACTCAGAAGGGCAACAGGATGTAACATTTTCCTCAGTATTACTGGAGCAATGCAGTGGCCTGTGTTAAATGGGCAGGACAATTAACTCCATCATCCCCTGGACATTTTGCAGATGGGCTGGGCAGCCCTCAGACCAAGGCACTGGTGGGAAGGTTACTTTGGCTGCCTGCAGAGACCGTGGCACTGAGACCATCAGGGTGCTCAGTCACTCCTGGCTATCTTGGCTGTGTTGACAACCCTCAAACAACCCGGGGTGTTCCCCAGCTGCACCAGAGGCTTTTAAACGTGCGGGTTCTCTCCAGGAACCGGAAGGCTCCAAATGCTTCCTGCAAGAGCCACAGAGTGCAAAGGGAGGGGAGGGCAAGAGGACAGGGGGGAAGCAGCACTCTCCTCTGCCTCTCAAGTGCCTTCTCCTCACCTGGCATTTCTGTGTCCAGCACTTCATCTCCCTGGCATGCAGGCACTCTCCTCTGCAAACCCTCCTTCCAGGAAATTTCATAGAGAACACAGCCACCAGCCCAGCCTGCCCACAGAGACCTGCCTGGCTGTGCCATGGAGTCAGGGGATGAGGAGGAGGAGGGAGAGTGGGTGCACTGTGAAAGCAGGAAACCATCCAACACCCCGATCCCATCTTTGCAAGCAAAAGCCAAGCCCTACCTTGCAGCCTCTCCGTGCTCCCTGCAGCAGGCTGGCTGGTTGGGTGAGCTGTGATCTACAGGGAACGTCAACCTGCCCCCAGCAACGAACTTCATGGAAAACAAACTCTCTCCATGCAGGACTGAGCAGCTGGGGCTTGGCATGTGGGCATGGAGCAGGCCAGGCCTGCGGCGGGGGGAGCGTGGCTGCATGGGGGGCGTGCCGGCGACACCAACTCCCTTCGAGCTCCCCAGCGCAGGAGGAACCAAAGAGGATCTCTCGCTGCCAAAAAGGGTTGTGCACAGCTCTGCTCACTCCCCCCACTGCCGTCTCCCCTTCCCCGAGCCCCCTCTTCTAATCTGCTGGACACCAGCAATTGGATCATTAAAAGTAGATTGGGCAGGAGAAGGAGGGAGGGAAGAGCTGGGAAGAGCTAAGTGGGCTCTGCTGCTCCCTCCCTCTTTCCCAGGCTCTCTGAACTCCCTCACTCAGGAGGAGGAGGAGGAGGAGGAGGCCTGGCTCTGGGCTGCAGCCATG